GGCGCGCTCTTGGCCTCTGGAAAGGGGAAGTGAAGTCTCTGATCAAGAGCTGGCCAGGGTGTTCGGGGTGTGCAGTGATGATCAGCTTCCCAGCCCACACCAACAGTTGGAGCCTGACCACTACTGAGCAGTTTGGCATCTCCTGAAATACCAAGTGGAGCTGTGTGGTCATCCCTGTCCCGCAGGAGCTTACACCGTACTGTGTGAATCCGCCTTACCCTCTTTTTGGGCAGTGTAGGCTTCTGCAGGTATGTGCTGCAAGAGGCTCTCAGATGGGGTGGGCTCGGTCATCTCCCAGGCTAGCCAGAAAAGCTCCAGTAGCACCAGTTCTTCATTCATACCAAGGGCTGAAACGGAAGCTTGTCAGATGCTCCCAGTAAGTCAGTGTAACTGCTGGCTGAAGAGCTCTTGCAGCCCGAGTTCACCCCTGAGCCTGGCTCTTCACACAGCTCGATGTTTACACAGGATTCTCAGGGTCAACTTGCTTATTACAGCTCGTTCTGGAAAAGCCACAAACATTTTCTCTGTTTGTAGGTCATTGTTGTTTGGGTTGGGACCAATAATCACGAAAACACAGCAGAAGAAGTCGCAGGCGGCATCGAGGCTATCGTGCGCCTGATAAACACCCAGCAGCCACAGGCCAAAGTCATCGTGCTGGTACGTGTCTCGGGAGAAAACAAAGGGCTCTGAGGAGGTCCCTGCACCGTGCCCTGTGCTGAGGGGTGCCTGCTTTATCTGCCTGCTGCTGGGCGTGTGCCTCCCCCCGCTCCGCTCCCCCGCGCAGCACAGGCTGTCCCGCCGCCCCTCCAGAGCTGGGGCTGGTCCTCCTGAGCGGTGCTGCTCTCCCAGCTAGAAGTGCTGAAGAAGTCTTGTGAGGGGAAAAGAGATGCCCAGATCAGAGTTGGCTTTGCAAGCCCCTCTTGGCCTGCTTTCTCTGGGCAGCTTCGCTGGTGCCTCTCATGCTGAGAAGCTGTGCGGTGGCGTTCAGGATGCCACTAAAAACCTGTAGAAAGACCACAAACTGGTGTATTTCTTAAAACAGAGCAAGCAGCTGCCTCGCTGGCTGGGCTTGCAGCTCACCTGGCTCCCTCGGTTGCACCTGGAATTAGGTGTGAGCAGACAGGGCACGAGCAGAGGGCTGAGCTCCCGCCGTGCTGCACGAGTCCCGTGTGGCTCTTCTCTCACCTCCTTCTCGTGGCAGGGCCTGCTACCTCGTGGGGAGAAGCCAAACCCGCTGCGGCAGAAGAACGCCAAGGTGAACCACCTGCTGAAGGCCTCGCTCCCCAAAATGCCCAACGTCCAGCTCCTGGACGTGGACGCCGGCTTCGTGCACTCGGATGGCACCATCTCCTACCACGACATGTTTGATTTCCTGCACCTGACGGGAGGGGGCTACGCCAAGATCTGCAAACCCCTCCACGAACTGATCATGCAGCTGCTGGAGGAGACCCCCGAGGAGAAACGAGCTGCCCTGGCCTGAGCAGCCGCTCCCAGCGCTAACAGCATCACCCAGCCCATCAGATCAGTTCTGTCACTGGCACTACAGAATCCTTCTTTCTTAAAGCACTTTCCATTGTAGAATGTTACCGGATGTTCGTACCTAGTGTTTTGAGGGGGAAGGCTCATGTTTAGCTCCTCTTGCCCGTGCGAGGGCCGGCTTGGTTGGTTTTATTGCAGGAGGAAATTAGCTGAAGAAGAGTTTTACTTTTAAACCATTCCTCATTCACACCGAGAACAGGACTGTCGCTCTGTGCCCCTCCCGTGTCTCGTTGCTCTGTGGTTGTCCTAGCACCCCCGTAGCCTGTCTCCGGCAGCCCGCGCCACTCCCGCCTCGCCGGCCGTGCTCCGCGTGTCAGCCTGTGAACAAGAATCACATTCCACTTGCAAAAGCCACAACAGATGCGTTTTTCCAAACCCGGGCCCACCTTTTAAAGGTTTGGGGGTTTTGTTTGTTTGTTTTCAGGGGAGGGGGTTAAGTGACACCTGTTGCTTTTTCGCTCCTTTCCAAAGCAGTGTGAAACTGGAATTCAGGAAGGTGGCAAAGAGCTGCTCCACCAGGCCCGTGTCCCGCTCCCGGGGGCTGGTCCTTGTGCCTCCCCCGGGGTGCCTGGCTGTCCGGCCGGTCTCGCTCCGCTGGTCCGGCGGTCCTGTCCCAGGGGGCGTCGCTGCCTTTTAAGGGTTGCCCAGTTTAGGATTTTAATTATCTGGTAAACGCTGCACGAGGCAGCTACTCCCCCACTGCTGTGGAATCCTTGTTTTGTTCCTCTGAGATCCCAGCACCGCAGGGCTGGGTTTTTTTAAGTATGACTGTTAAATCCTTTTTTTCTAGGGGCCACCCACACGAGTAGCCCCTGTCCAAGAGGCCTCAATCAGACGGAAGCTTTACAGATCCTGAGGTGTATATTTCTTTATCGCTTCTGTTTTACTTGTATAAACATCTTATTCGGGCAAATGCAGCCTCTTGGAGCGAGAAGTGGAGCCAAGGTGTCGCTTCCCCTGCCCGGCCGCTGCTCCTCACCTGCAGCCTGCCCCCGCCCGGCGGCTGGGCCAGCCGTGGGGCAGGTGCCCTCCCCTCCTCCCTGCGGGGGTGCTGGGGTTTTGGTTTGGTTTCCGTGTAACGAGGCTGGTCGCAGGAAAGCCATGACGGTAGAGAGCAGCCTCTCACTTCAAAGCAAAAGGTTCTTTTATTTGGCGAGAGGCTGATCTGGACCCAAAAGGCAGAGCCCTAGGAGGATAGGTAACTGCTTGCTGATCACCCTGTTTTAAGCAAGGCCCATTCTCCCCAGCTCACCGGCCGGCCCGGGGCTCAGCTGCAAGCGCAGCTCCCTGTGCTCAGGCTCAGCCGGACAGGAGCAGGCAGCTCTGCTGGTGCCATGCTCCACAGGGGGCTGCGTGGGTGCCCAGCTGCTCGCCGTGCCCTGCCATGGCACTGCCCCATCTCTGTCAGCCCTTTTCTGTAACAAGGGGTGCTGGTGTTGCTGCCGTCTGTACCTAGCGTTAAGGAACCCTTTAATGTCCCCGCTACATCCCCCTCGTCCTGTAGCTTTGATTTCCACCTCGATTGCATGCGTAGTGTGTTTTGTTTCCAGTCTACGTGATCTCCACTAGCTGAAGGGAAGGGGAAGGGCTCTGCTCCCCGGGCTCAGCAGTAGGGTGTTCCAGGGTGCCAGGCTGGGGACGTGCTGCTCCCCATGGCTCGCTCGGGAGCTCGGCTGCCTGGCAGCACGGGCTCCACGGGACATCGCTCACGCTCCCACTGAGATGGTCGCTGGAGAAGCTCGGGCAAGGGAGAGTGGAAAATCAGTTGTTAAAAAGGTACTGCAGTGGAGGATTCCTGGGCAAGGGACTTCCCTCCCGACCCTTCTGGAGACAGGATGGAGCACATTGTGAGAGCTTTTTGAATTTCTAGGCTTGTGTGAACAGGCACTGTGCTCGTTCAGTCAGCATGTCCCCACTTCCCTCCCTGCTGTCACTGTGTTTGCCCAAAGAGATGCTGCCCAGGAACGTGCTCTCCAGTACAAAGCTCAGACTTCCCAGCATGGCTCCCTGGCTGCTTGACCAGGTGCCAGGCGGCCTGGGAGCCTT